CAGCAGGTGGACAGCGACACCCAACCTCCTGCCAAGTGAGGCCGGGCCTCGAGGCTGAGTGGGTGAGCTTGCCCAGGAGCAAAGGGGCACTAAGACCCAATACCAGGCAGGATGGAGAACTGGGGCTCTGCAGGTGCCCAACGGAGCCATGAAAGATGTGCAGAGGGTATACCTGGTAGATGGAGAAGCCAATCTGTCCGACCCATCCACCCCCAGTGCACCCACCCACACATCTGGTCTACACACGGGTTCACAGCCAGCCATCCACACAGCCTCCACCTGTGTACCCATCCAGGCAGTGGGCAGCTCCGAGGGAAGGTGAGGAGGGCACCTCCGATTACCCAGGCTGGCCAGCCCAAGCCTCCCTCCCTGAAGGGCCCCTCAGGGGAAGTATGTGCCTTGGGGAAGCTGGACCCCAAGGGTGTGGAAAAGCGTCCAGGAACATCGGGTCTGGGTAGTGAAACACACCCCTTCTCTGAGTCCCATGCTGGGGACCCCGTCCAGCTGGCTGCACCCACTGGGAAGCTGCAGGGGTCTGGCACTGTATGGCTGCTGGTGGCCTGGAGATGCAGCACAGCACCCAAAGGCGCCTCCTCCCGCCTGTCCGGGGAGGTGTCTGCAGGCTTCACACCAACAACTGGGAAGCCCCAGGACCTTGGGGTCCTCAAAACTGCTCTCTCTCCCAGATCCAATTCCACACCCAGTTTCTGGGGAGAGGCCCTCGGAGAGTCTCGCTTCTCATAGCCTGCACCCTTCAGGTGATCAATAAACACACACTCACATATATAAACCTGCAGTGCTATGCACGTCCACTCCAGGTGCTTTTCATTTATTTATACACTTCTTTAACAAAGTCAGGCGCCTGCCTTCAGCCAGGGGCTGGGACGCATTTCAGTGTCGTTTCCTTACAGAACATTTGTACTCTTCAATGTTTAATAACTGGAGAAGGCTGCTGGAAACCAGGGTTATTTCCTCTCCTCCTCTGAGGAGCCCACTTTCTGAGAGAAGGGACTGCAGATAATTGAATGGATTTTAACTCTGACCATTTAGGCGCTGACAGCAGGGCAGGTTAAGGCCTTGATTAGAGAAATGCTCACAAGGGGTGGATGTGGACCACATGCCCGGGTCTCCAGTCAGACCCATGCTCCCTGCACAGCCCAAGCCCACACTCCTTCCCACAGACCAGGGCGACAAACACAGCCAAACCAGCACCTGGTGTAGGCCCAGTACGGGCGGACACACGTGTGGCTCCCAGGACTGCATAACACCGCATAGCACACGCCCCTGGGCTCTTCGTACCCCACCTCCACCCACCAGCTCCTGCTGTGTCCGCAGCAACAGGCTTGGGTACAGCTCAAGTCCCTCCCAAGTCTGGAAGGCGCAGGCATCTGGGAAGAGCCACCTGTACCACCTCTCACGGTAGAGGATGGGGACGGTGTCACTGCCCATCGGCCATGCCATGGCCACCCTGTGGACACAGATGTAAACAGTCAAGTGACTGTCACCAGGTGCCATCCTGGCGTGACCACTGGGCGGAACTGTGTGGGGCAAGAGAGAAAAAATATACACGTCTGCTTCTACATAAAATTCAGCGGAAGGAATTACTGCAAAATGAAAAGAAAACTAGTTGTCCACAGAGAAAGGGAAAGATGAGGTGATGGGGTGCAGGGAGAGAAACTGGACTTCTCTGAATGTACCTTGACTTTGGGACCACGTGGCCAGCTCTGTATATTTATTCATCTTTCACACAAGGTCTTACTGAGTGGCCCAGGTTTTTCTCGAACTCCTGGGCTCAAGTAATTCTCCTGCCTCGGCCTCCTGAGTAGCTAGGATTATAGGTACACACCACACTAAACAATTTAGATAGCTATAAGGATTTAACTTCAAACTGGATGTACTGGTGTCCTTCTGCAATCCCAACACTCGGGGAGCTGAGGTAGGAGGATCGCCCTAAGTGTGAGGCCAGCCTCGGTCACAGAGCAAGACACTATCTCCAAAACAACAACAACAAACATTTAACTTTATAACAAACTCTTGACATGCATAATGGGATAAGATGACACGACACCATCCAACAGGACGCACTGAAGACAGGCCACAAGCTGCCCAGCCTGTCTCCCCGTGAGGCAACAGAACACCAATGCAAATGGCAGACATTCAGCAAGGAACCAACCCGTCCTCTCCCAGCATCAACATCAGGAAACATGGAAAGCTGGGCTGTGCTCCAGGAGTGGAGATGACAGGGCTGAGGACCAGACACCGTTCACGACCCAGAACTTCTTCTGCCATAAGGGACATGGCTGGGTCCATGGTGAGGCCAGAGAAAGGTTTCACTCTAGGTCGCATCAGGGGTGATTTCCTGATCTCTGAAGACACTTTGATAACAAAAGAGCCGTCGTGCTCTTGGGACACACACCCAAGGCTTCATGTCTACACCTGACCACCAGGCAGCTCAAACACACAGACAGGCAGGTGACGGAGGGCCGGACAGATGGATGTGCAGACGGATGGATGGGAAGACAGAGAGAGGCAGACAGATGGGACAAACGTTGAAGTTTTAAGGAATAACTAGATGAAAAATAGGAGTTCTTTGTAAACCTGAAATTGTGTCCAAATACAAAAGTTAAAAGAAAAAAAGGCAATCTCTAAAAATCAAAAGTGAAGAGAAACAAACAAAGCCAGCCATACACTGACTCAGTCACACAGCCAGGAGGAAGGACAGGTTCGTGCTGGTGACTTTGAGAGCAGGGATTCCTATCTCTCAAGGGACAACGGAACTAGAAACAGACGCAGGCTGTGCTTCTGATCCCCAGCTTGCAGCGGTCGTGGTATCTTACCCTGAGATGCGTGTGTGTGTGTGTGTGTGTGTGTGTGTGTGTGTGTTCATGGGATACAACCAATGAGTAATGCTGGTGTCACTCTTTGCAAACCAGGATTTCAGCATGAGAGAAAGGAAGGTGAGAGTCTAATGAGACTGAATAGAAGCCAGGGCTGGGATACAAGCTCCTGCCCATGTTCTGTCCACACCCACTCAGCAGACCAGGCGCCACGGTGGTCGGAGAGCGCAGTAAGGGCCTCTGAGCCTTGCCCCTCTCTAATAGGAGCCAGCGCTGTTTTTTTTGCCCATGGATCATCCAGGGCTGGGCAGGGAGTGTGTGCAATGGGCCTGAATATCTTGTCACACCAGAACAGGACTCAGGAACACTGCTGGGGACTTCCACGGCCCAAAGGCCAAGCTTCAGAAGCACAGTAGACAAAAACCCCATGTGGAAGACACATCCAAGTGCTCAAACCCATCATCTCCACACCCCACAAGAAGCCACGCCCTGCTGGCTCCCCTGGAGGAATGAACTTGTTTGCCTCAAACCAAGGAGAACAGGGAAAAGCTCAAGTGCGCCTCCTCCTTTCCTGTAAGTCTGAGACCTCAGGCTCACCAAGCAGTTGGCAAAGGGAGGCCTGCTCTTGGCTGCTCAATGGCCCAAGTAGAGATTGCCATCCCACAACCCCCAGTGTGAGGACGACCTGGTGACAACTGTCCAGCTCGGGACCCCAGAGAGGATCCACCTGTGTTCCCAAATCCCTGCCTCACCAGGGAACAGAAGGATGGGCAATTCAGAGAGTCAGACTCCCAGCTTGTATCTATAAAACACACTGCGTTACCTACTGAAATATTCGCAGATGAAACAATAGGTTGCAGGCTGGGGTTTGTCTGAAATGCCCAGCGAGGAAGGGGAAGAGGAAGCTAGGCTGGCCCAAGCCGGTTCCTGTCAGAGCTGATGCTGTGTGTCAAAAAGAGAGCTCGGGATGTTATGTGCTGCATTTCTGTGTGCATTCAAAATTTTCCATAATTAAAAAATATGAGCTGGGTCACCTATAATCCCAGTACTCAGGAGGCTAAGGCAAGAGGGTCACCAAGTTCAAGTCCAGCCTGGGCAACTTAGCGGTACCTTGTCTCAAAATAAAATAAAAGGCTGGGGCTGTAGCTCCATGATAGAGTGCCCCTGGGTTTGAGCCCCAGGACCACAAAAAGCGAAAGCAAAACACTGCCTGTGACTGCCACCCCACAGCATGGGGCTGAACTCAACAACCCACTTCAAGAGCCCCCGGGGAATGGGACGAGACACCCCGTGCATTACCGAGGACAGAGTGGAGCGGTGAGTGCATCCCTGGACACCAGCAGCCACACCCGGGCAGGTGGCCTCCTCTGTCCTTCTCCTCAGGGATCCTGCCACCCGAAGAGGCACGTGGCTGTCTTGCTTCTGACCCACCCCAAAGGGCTCAGCACCGCCCTCTGGTCTGTCACCAGGTGAACCCGAGTCATGAACCCATGAGCCATGCGCCCACCCTGGTCCTGTAGCAGCTGTCAGCGGGCCGACGCTGGAGCCAGCCCAGCCCCCAGCCTGCAGGTGTGGCTTGCAGAAGCCCCAGCGCCGGGGCCTGGCTAAGCCTTCCCAGCCCCACAGCAGGAGAGCATGGCCAGGCTCCCACACGACGCTGGATGGAAAACTGGCACCCACACTAAGCCGAAAGTCTGTATCCTGCTGGACCTGTGCAGGCCTGGGCTGGAAGGCAGAGGGAAGCAGAGGCGCAGAGACCCAGCCCTCAAGGCACGTGATGACCAAGAACGGAGACCAGGCAAAGCCAAAGGCTGTTTGGTCAGAGCATCAAGGGGACCCTACATACGCAGGACACCAAGAGGGCGGTGACTGACAGGTGACCGCCCCTGGCTGAGGGCTTCCAGTCCCAAAGGCCCCTTCCCTAGGCCGGCCCTGCTCCCTGCTCTGCACACAGGGCCAAGTTGTCTCCCGAACCTTCTTCCTCTCAGCCTCGCTGCACCAGGGTGTCTCGCAGCGGGTCCCACATGGGTCCTGACTGGGCTCCCTGGCTTCGCCCCTAACTAGTCAGAGGACTTCACCCAACCACAGGTGACTCCATTCCTCCATGCCTCAGTTTCCTCTCCTGCGGGCTCCCATCTCCTAGAAGTGCTTTCTGGTACTCACGCAGGAAGTGCTTCTCCAGTAAAGCGATTTCCAGGTGACCCTTGATCTCGTTCAGGCGATCGGACTCCGTGCGGTTGAAGTCTGGCGTACCTGTGGCCATGATGAGGGTCCCTGGACCTGCCTGGGAGGAAAACACTGAGATTCAGAGGTGGCCGTATGGTCTCCCCCAGGCAGATCTACAGGGTCCAAGGCCTGGGACAGCAGGTCAGCACGACAGGCCCTACCAGCCCAGGATCTCACAGCACATAGACACCCTCGGAGCAACGTGAGGTCGACATCAAGAAACAGAGAAATTGTAACCCTTAAACCAGGTGCTAAGCTCCTAGACGGTGGCACCACCGATCTTGGGCTGCGAAGGAAGAAAGTGGGCAGCGGCACTGGCCAGTATGCACGGGGTGCTGCGGCCCGGCCAAAGCGTGCCGGCCACCCTGACAACGGGACCTGGGGCTGAGGGTGCAGCCACAGCACACAGAGCACACGGGAAAGAAGACAGCTCCCAGGCAGCCAAGGCCTGAGGGGAATCAGGGACAGTCACCTCACGTCCCCTCCACAGAGACTCATTAAACCACTGTCCTGTCCCCAGCACAGGGAGCCGGCTCCAGTTACAGGCTACATGCTCAGGAGGTGGGCACAGCAGCCACTCTGCACCCTGCTGACCACAGGGAAAGGAGAGAGGCCTGCAGGGCCACACCAGGCGCTCACATGGTCGCCCTGCACAGGGGCTGCCCAGTGAGAAAACGCACAGGAGTCCCTGAGGGGACAGGGACTGATCTCCACACCTGGGCCCCAGACCTCCTCCTCCAGGGCTAGGGGTAGTGAAACAGTATCCATGCTCAGACTGCCTGCCCAGGAGCAGCACAGTGGATGCTCTCTAACACTGTCACCTGCTTGGAGGCCACGGCCTAGAGAAGGGTCTGATGGAAACCAGTGGCTCCAGGCAGGCCCTGGGCACCTGACCTTCACTGTCAGCTACTCTGGCTCTGGGACACATGTTCCTGGGGGCAGGGGCCAGGCCATGTTATCTGCTGCCTTCTTGGAGCCTGGCACGACAGCAGGGAGAACTGTGGGGTAGGCTGAAAGCAGGATAAGTCCCTCTGCCCTAAGTGCCACTTGGAGTCATTCTCTGCACCGATGCTGACTGGGGAGGACCATCTGTGGGCACTGCTCAAGGAGGCCAGGAGAGCCTGGGTGCTCGGAGCCCAATGTGCCTCAGTACCTCGGATCACCTGTCCACGGTCCCAAGGACCAAAGCTCAACAGGGCCGGGAGGGGGACAGGCAACCCCACACACCACAGCCAACGCAGGGGTGGACCTGCACGTCTATGTTCCAGGCTAACCTGGAGGAAGCTCTGGATGTAGGGGCGGGGCCAGGCAGGTGTCACTTGTCACTTGTCTAAACATCCGCCCACAGGTGTCCCAGCACAGCCAGCCCCTGATGAGCTCAAAGGGCCTGGTGAAGGCCACCAAGCCCCAAGTGGGCAGCAGGGCTGCAGGCAGCATCCACTGCCCCACACACGCAGGATGGGCAGGGCTGCAGAACCTGCGGGTTCCTGACAGAGTAAAGATGAGCAACTGAGTGACCTAATGAGATCCTGTCAAAAAGTTTAAAAATATTTTTTAAAAGGCTGGGTACGTAGGCCTTGGGTTCAATCCCTAGGACTGGAAAAAAAAAAAGAAACAAAACAAGACAGACAAGAAAGCAAAGTCAGGTGCTCAGACACCTGGCAGCTGCCCCACAATTATCCAGCAGGTGTGGGGACGGGCAGCAGATGCCAGGCTGGCTGGGAGGTGGTGACGCTTTGCACACAGGGCACATGCACTCGCAGGCACTCCCTCTAGTGGAAGCGTGCTAGGCGTTTGGGATATCTGCTATGAAAAAACATTTTAACCTCCTAACAATCTTCAGGCCATGGGTGACCCACTCACCCCCATGCACCCAGACAGCTCCAGGCCTCCTGGCAGGTGAACCTGGCTAGAGCCCCGCCCCTGCTGTCATCCACTCTGTCCCTTCCCTGGGCCTTCTGGAGACTTCACCCCTTCCCCTGGCAGGTGAGCCACACGGAGCCACCCTGTCCCAGCTCAGCAAGGCTATCTGGAGGAGGTCATCAATGATGAATGGAAACGCGATCTGGCAGTCCAGACAGCTCACAGCCTCCCTCCCCACCCAGGAGCCTCCGCACGGTCCTGGCACCCTCCAGTCCAACCGGCCTGCCATGAGCCCTGCCTGCCAGGAAACATGTCCTCCATACCTCGCACCTGCTCTTTCTGGTTTCGGCATCTGCAGGTGCAGAGCCTGAGGGCCACACCTGGGCTCACAGGGGTGATCCCTCCCCGCCATCTGCAGAGAGACCTTGCAGGTGACCTAGGTGGGCAGCCCGAGGATGGCCCGGGAGACGTCCAGGCGTTAGGTAACTGTCAGGCATCACCTGACACAGATGACACAGCACAGAATCACGAATTGCCGGCACAGCACCTGCTAAAAATAGCATGTCCCATGCACAGGGCCTGCCAGCCCCACCCTGCCCGCGACGGGACCCCGGGAGCTCCATAGGTGGTGCTGGAGAACAAAGGTCTCCCCCTCTAGTGACACGGCAGGCCCAGGGGCCTGGGAGCCAGTGTCGTCTGGCATCATCAGGGCTCCTGCCTACAGCAGGGATGACACCTCCAGTGAAAGGGAGTAGAAAGCTAGAGCCCCTGTGGGCTGCCAGGGCCTTCACTTATGACATTCCCACGTGGCCACACCTGTCCCCCCAGTCTAAGTCCCTACCTTTACCACACTCGGGGCTCCCGGGGAGCACAGGAGAGTAACCCACCCTTGAAAGAACTCTGTTTCCATGAAAATGTCTCTGTGCTCAAATCACAATGGTGCCCACCATGATCAGGAAACAGAAGGAGTGGACTGGGGGCTAGGACAAGGCGGGAGAGGAGCAGCAGCCTTGTGTTCTGGAACCCATGCCTTGGTCCCGCTGGGATCTGCCACTGTCTAGGAGCACAACCACAGCTGTAAAAGCCACCCAGAGCCTCAGTTTCCCCATCTGTCCAATGGGGACGATGGCCCCAGAAAGGCCGTGGGGTGGCACAGACACCCTGGCACTCTGCATGTCCCTGTAGAAGCAGGGCGGGAAGGCCAAAAGCCTCAAACAGGGCAAGTTTTGGGCCTCTGGCTCCCGAGGAGCCTGAAGCTAATGGGCTTTCATGGTAGCAGAGGAAACCAGGTTGGACAGTGCCACCCCTCAGCCCGGGCAAGACAAGTTCCAAGGGACCAAGGGGCAGGAAGGGAGCTTGCAGGCCTACCACACTGCTATTTACCTGGCCACCAGCACACCACACAGGGCGAGGGGTGACCGTGCGGCAGGCAAGAGAGCCCTGCTGCAGGGACAAGCCCTGCCACCTGGACAGCACCTGCAGGGCAACACAGAGCAGGAGCTATAGGACCAGCCATGGCCTCTGAAGACTGGACAGTGTCAGACCCACCGGCAAGCCAGGCACGGGAAGCTGAGCAGCCCCACCCATACCGAGGCGGCACAGGGCGGGCAACCAGGCTATTAAGGGGTAGCACCAGTAAATTATTAATTTCTGCCCAGAGCAGGGCACAGTTACGGCCCTATTAGGAAACATTAATAATGCAAGATCGGGGAAAGGAGTGACGGCAGCCACATCTGGGATGAAACTCTGGCTCGGGATGGGAGAAAACCCATAGGCCACCAACAATGACGGGCACAGGGGTGGCGCCCACAGCTGCACTGGGCAGCTGTGAGCAGGGAGGAGGGGCGCCCCAGTCAGCCTGGGAAGAGGCAGGCCACAGAGTGCTCCTCCTGCCTGCTCTGCTCATCCAAACCCCAGGGAGCAGCCCCTCCAGAAAGCAGGACCCTCCGGCCATGCCCACCCCAGCACAGGCAAGCTGAAGTGATCCAGGGATGCCCGATGTCCAGCCAGCGTCGGGGTCGTGACACAGCGAGACACACAGAAGCTCAGACATGCCGGGTCCTGCCCCGCACCTTCCCCACCTGTACACTTCTATGGTCAGGCCAGGGTCAGCAACATTTTCGCCCGAGAAGTCTGCCAACCAGAGAGGAAGGCAGAGACGTGCAGCCGCTGGGCACAGAAAGGTCAGCCAGAGACAAGAGCAGTCTGGAGGGGCGGTGGACCAGTGACGGCAAAGCACGGCAAGGAGGACACCAGGCCCCATTCCCATGTCCGGCCAGCCCCGCGGGACAGCAGTCTGCCCACATCCCCAGACTGGGCCCCTTGAGGGCCCGAATGAGTCCCAACATGCACCAGGGATGGCAGGGACACTTGGGCTCGGTGTACTCACAGGGTCCCTGAGCTCCTCGCCGTCACGGGGCGAGGTCCGAGGTATCTTCAGGGGCAGCTCGTCAGCACACTCAGTGTCCGAGGCATTGGGTGACTCCGCGAGGTCCAGGCAGTCCTCTCTCTTGGGACCTCTGAACCTGATCCTGTCCAGCCTCCTGAGCATGTTCAGCACCGAGCTCCTGGGCCTCACCTGCACATGACGGGCGGGCTCCCTACAAGAGAGGGGGCTCAGTCACTCACCACGCAACACCTGCCCCTGCAGTGCCTTTCCCCAGGCTCCCGCTGGCAGGGCGTGGCCGCAGACCTCACCCGTGACCCTCAGGCCGGGCCCACCCCACCAAGCCGCTGGCCACAGGCTCCTGCTCCACCTCAGCTAGCCCAGGCCCCCAGAGCCCAGCAGAGCAGGACACCTAGGCCTGCACTGGGCCATCCTGGCTCACTATGGCGACTCAGACCCAAGGTTAAGGAAAGAGAGGGCTGACTGCTCCCCAAAAGTGCTACTGTCACCAACCCAGCAGACGTACATCTCTGGGCGATGCTTTGTCCTCAGGCTCAGCCCAGGCCCCACCCTTTCTGCAAAGCCCCCTCAGGGCCAGAGACAGGGGCCCAGTAGGGCTGCAGCCCCACACCCTTCAGCTGCAGGGGGGGGCCAAGGTCCACCTGCCTCCTCCTCCAACCCAGCAGCAGGACAGGTACTTGTGCTAATGCACACCTGTGTGCACCAAGAGATTAACATGCCCCAGTTGCACCAGGACAGCCAGGACAGCACCCAGACTCCCAGGGGGTTGGGAGTGGCAGCACCTCCTAATGTCCAGCACTTCGCGCACAGCTGGATGGGCAGAGGGCGAGGGATGCCGGCTTCAGCTCTAGTCCCCCAGACAGCTCCAAGTCAGTGCTGCAGCCCAGGGCCCAGTCCCCTCCCACACACCTGGCTCCCAGTGGCTGCTAGGCCTCTGGTCCCGGGAAGCACTGGGCTGACACCCCAGGGTCCCAGCCAGGCTTTCCAGCTGTGAGGCAGGAGTGAGCCTGACGAGGCAAAGGCATTCTGGGAATCGGAGAGGATCCACATCAGGGCCTGACCTTGGCCTGGACCCAGGGAGCCACAGGACTGTTTCCCTGGGAGGAAGAAAAGGCATGGAGTGGAACAGCTTCCTGCTGGGGGCAGCAGCACAGAGCCCAGCCTGATGGCAGCGGGAGGTGCCCACTGACCCAACCCACCTGCCTGCCCAGGATGGTGCCGCAGCTCAGGATGAGACTAGCGCATGGTGGGGACCCCAGGCCTCGGCCGGCAGACGTAAAAGCCAGCTCTGAGCCGAGGGGCAGCTGAGGCTGGGGCTTGGGGAGAGGGCCCGGGGGTGCTCCTGGCACAGGTCCTCGTCCAGATCCCTGAGTCATGGAACCTACATGGGTGGTTCCTGTGGATGGATGGCAGCACTGCAGGGGGCGAGGGTGGAGGACAGGCCACCACGCGGGGAATGTCACATACAGGAACTGTGAACTTCGGAGTGGCTGGCGGAACAGTAAACTGAAAACCTGATTAACCAAAAGAAAAGAGAACTTGCTGCTAGCAAACCCTAGAGAGGAGATGATGGTCTATATTCAGAGACCGAGCCAGGTGTAATCCCAGCACTCAGGAGGCTCAGGCAGTAAATTCAAGGTCAGACCGAACTACATAGTGAGACCCTGTCTCAAAATAAACAGGGCTGGGGATTTAGCTCAGCGGGTCCACTGCCTGCCTCATAAGAGCAAGGTCCCAAGTTTGATTCCCGGTACCAAAAAAATAAAATAAACAAACAAGAAGACTGAAAAATGAATTCACATAGCAAAAAAAATCTAACAGACAACTTGACAGATATAAAAACCTCCCATTTGGTAAAAAGCAAAAGTAAAGCAAGGCAGTGTAGCACATCTGACATTTCAGCATTCCAGGGAGCTGGACAGGAGGCCGGCAATTTTGAGCCCGGCCTAGGCAACATATAGACTTAGTGAAACCCTGCCTCAAAATAAAAAGGAAAAGGAAAATAAGGAAGAAAACAGTTTGAGTATGAGTAGCTAATATGACATTTGAAGATGAGTATCTTGGTTACCAGACAGCTTGAATCAACTGGGAAAAGCTACAAGCCCACCTCCTAACTCCTGCACAAGATGCTAACATTACCAACCAGCAAACAGCACTCACCAGTGCGTGAGGGCTAAGAGGGCGGATGCCCTGGTCAGGAGTTCCGCCCCCGGAATGCCAGTCTAGGGCCAAACCCAACACACGTAGCCCATCCCACCCGTGGAAACACTCCACGAGGGTGTGGGAAAAGGGCACCGCTGCTCACCATTCGTGCCACCTTGGAGCCCACGGACAGGGTCTGGGCCCGCACTGTGCACGGTGGCCTCACACAGGACACTGATTCTGGAAGGTGACATGGTATGTGCGGGGCGCTGCACTCGACACCAGCTCAGGGTAGTTTTAGCCGCTCTCTCTCCAGTGCCAGCTCTGTTTTCCTGTTGCTTTTTTGAAGACATTATTTTATTGGGGTAAAATACACATAGGACTTCCCAACCTATTCATTTTATTTTTTTAATTGGGTTTATTAGTACTTTTTAAGTATTCAACCTATTCATTTTAAAAGGTGTGGTGGGTAACACTGCGTTATCTGCCCCAGAATGCACCATCCATGTGAAGCTAAAACTGCACTCATTAAACCCTGCTGCCACAGTCCCCTCCCCAGCCAGCCAGAGACACCAGTGCTATGGCTCCAATGCAGAACGTGAGACTACAACGGTGGGAAAGGGACAGACACATAAATCCTAGCGCAGCAGAAAACCTACTTCCTGTGCATCCGAACTCCGCCCTGTCCCCCTTCCTCCTACTGGAGCAGCAGCAAAAAGAGAGACCCCACGACTGCCAGAGGCTGTGCACACACTCCCGAGCGGACAGGGACACACACCCCTGAGCAGAGCAGTGCACGGTGGTACGTGCGCTCCTCCTGGCTCACAGGTGGCTCTGGATTGAGCTCTCGTCCCTGCTATTCTGAATTCCTGAAGCAGGCCCACTACAGAGGCCGCCACACGGGGAGAGGGACAAAGGCGCCCAGTGTCGCCCATGGTATACTGGACACAGGCTGGCCACTGATGGGGCTCAGCCCCACCACGGTTCTGCAGCCAGCTCACCCTGCCCCAGGCAGGTGCCCACCCCAACATGCAGCCCAGGAGCAGGTGTCCTTCAGGTCCATCCCTGCCCTCCAGCCCAAACCCCTGGGTTCCTTAAAAACATGAATCTGCAGGCTGCAGGCTGGAAGGGCAGAACTCCATGCCACGGACCAGGCCAGGGGCGCTGGCTTGGCTGTGCTAACACTGCATGTGTCCCGGGGAGGGCGCCTCTACGTCCACACCAGCACCCCCAGCCTGGGCTGAGCAGAGTCTCACCCATGCCGGGACAACCTTGTCTCACAAACTCTCCCTGACCCTGTTTCCAGGTAAGGTGCTACTGCAGGTTCCGGGGGCACACATTTGAGGGAGACACTGTGCCACACAGCATACCCCAACTTACAGAGAAACCGAGGCTGAGGCCAAGACGGTCTGTGCCTTGGCCTGCGTCCCAGGGCTGGGTCTCAGATCGGGGTGTAGACCCAGAGCAAGAGCTGTTCTCACCACTTGTCTTGCTGGAGGCTCTCAGCACCTGCTGTCCTTGGTACGGTGTCCCCTGCAGCCCCACGCCCATCTGCCCAGCCCGTCCTCACCGTCCCAGCCTATACCCCAGCTGCTCTCCTCAGGACACCACCATTCATGACTCAGCCCCTGCCCACTGTCCGACTGCACAGGACACGGAGCCCAAACTCCCAGAGCTGCTCCTGAGCAGGGACCAGCCCCTGCCCTCATGGCTCCCGGGAGCTGCTGTTTCCCCAGCAGCCCCTGCTGTCCCTCATCAGGGGTCCGACCAGACCACCAACCTCTGGAGAGCACAGCCCACCTGCCCCAGCCTGCACCCCGGACCTCCACTGGAAGTGGCCGCTTGAACAGCTCAGCTGCAGTTGTTTTGGGGCAAACGGTAACCACACATCTCCCAGAGCCAGCGCTACACGCAAGGCCTGGGGAGGGCGGCGCCTGCAGAGCAGGACTGTGGGGGCTCCCGGCACCCCAGACTCCCCAGGCCCTCTGTACAAGCAGGCTGGAGTCCAGCTGGCCGCCTGGGTGCAAGCATGCTGCTTGTGAAAGCGTTGAGTGGCTTCCGGACGCACAAAGGACGCAGTGTCTGTACCCAGGCTTGGGAACCACAAAAGGCCTCATTCCCCTTCCCAGCTCAACACTGGCAGGAGCCAGCAGGCGCTAGCCTCCTCCACACCATCACTGGCCCTGGCTTCTTTCTACAGCCCTGCAGCCTGCCCAGTTTTGCCCCTCACTCCCTCCTTTTCCGGTGGTTCCCCCAACCGACCCCAGATAAACGGTGCCCGCTTTCCCACAGGACACCAACTCTTACTCCGCAACAACATCCGGGGCACCAGGATGCTGGGCAACACCCAGTCCCCGTGTCCCTGGCCAAGGCTTGGTGCTCTCGGGAAGACGGCTCTAAACTCAAAGTCAGCAAGGCCTGGGTCACAGCGAGATCCCCAGATGACAGACAAGGTGGAAAGGGTGGCTGGCGAGGGCGTGAGGATGGAGCAGATTCCTGAGAGGGAAAAGCAAGGCCAGCAGTCCCAGCCCTATCACTCCCTAACAGCCTGAAGCAGGGGCCCAAGGACCCAAATGCCCACACAGCACTAGGCTCCACCCTGTGCCCTGAGCTGTCCCCGTCTCCCCAACACCAGGCTCAGGGAGGCACGCAGATCCGCACGACTTCAAGGCTGTCCAGGAGACACCTCCTTTGCCCCAATTCCCCCATGGTTCTGCAGGCTGGGCCGCCGAGGGACCTCCATAACCCGGATATCAGCACAGAATGTCACACCAGCCTCAACTCTGCACCCACCGGCTCTACACTGCATGTGAGCATCGTCTCGGCTGCTGCCGTGAGTCTGGATGGTCTAGAAACAGGGAGGGGCACCCTGAGCCCGGCTGTGACCCTTGCCCTGGCCAGCAGCTGTCACCACCTAGAACACCCAACACCCAAACATAAGCGACCCCGTGCCCGGCGAGCACCACAGTAAAACATGGGGAACAACTCCAGAAGATGAGACTCTGGGTTTGTCCCTCTGTTTTCAGTCTTGCTTATTAACTCTTAGGTTTATACACTTTCACTTGTATCAGTGAGCTCACGGAACTCCCAGCGGCCCAGCAATCGGTGCTCAGGAATGGCACGAGTAGGATCCTCCACTCCCGGGTGGCCTGGTGCAGGGCCCAAAAGGGATCAGCGTCCTCACGCTTGCAGGCCTGAGGCTGCAGGCGTGTGTGCCATCCCTGGGCTGGAGGGGGAGGTAGCGAGGCCACTGCTGAGAGGGTTGACGGAGAGCGACATGCGAGGTGCCAGAGGCCCACACCGGACCAGCCGTGGTGATGGTGGCAAAGAGGTAGACCCATCCTCAAGAACAGTGGCCAGCAAATAGGGCTCGTCCTGCGGTGACACTGCTGTGCCACAGCTCCCAACACGCTGTCACCCCGAGCTTCCCAGTGGGGACCCAGCCCGGGGTCCTGGGATGGACAGGATAGGGAGGCCGCAGGGGAGGGGCCACCGGACAGCAAGGACCCCCTGCCCAAAGTGCAAAGGCTCAGCCTGGGGCCTGGAGGCAGCAGACGCAGCAGGGTGTTCAGCATCGTCCACCCGCAGCGCCTCCTCCTCCTCTTCCTCCTCTGGACCTCCGCCCTTGGGGGCCCCAGGACACAGTTTCTACCCGGCTGCCCATCAGGCCGGGCCTCTGCCTCGGTTTCCTGCTCCATCAGTGAAGAGAAGGGGGCACCTAGTGCAGGTGTGAGCGCCGCCCACCAGGATGGTCTCCAGGTGACCGGGACAAGGTCCAGGCTCCTGTCACAAGCCCAGCAGAGTCCCAGCACCCCTGCACGGTGCCCCTACTGTCCCCAGACCTCCTCATGCCCAAAGCCTGCCTGGGCACCACCTGGCTCTGAAGGAGAATCTTTCTCCACAGGGCCAGAGGCACAGCCCATATCTGGGTCCACAGCAAAGTAACTGTCAGGAAATTACAGGCCCAATGATGATACCACCTGGTTTCAATGTTGACAGTGAGGAGCTACTGATAAACCAACTGAAAGACAGGGAAACTGAGGCTAGGGCAGGCAAAGTGAGAGCCAAGTAGCACAACAGGGACACAATCCGACTCTGTAGCATTTCAAGGCTATGCCCAGGATGTCCTCCCCCGCACATGACTTTGTTAATGTATCCACTGCGCTGTTCAACAGCCCACAAGCCCCTCTGCTTGTGATACTGAGAGGGGGACTTGTCAGTGTGGCCCTAAGGATATTCACTGAACAACACAAAGCTAGCAACAAAGTCTGAATCTTAGGAGCAGATAGTATAAGCAGAAAAGCTAAGCAACAGGAAGCCCACATAAGAACTCCCTCTAGCCAAAGTCTTGATTTGCAACTGTCTTGTCATTGCAGCAGGGCTGGGAAGTTGCAGCTCTCCCAGGTCTGGCCTCCCTCCAGGAGGGCCTCCATGTTCATCATGACGAGTAGGGCACAGGAGTGGCCACAAAGTCCCTAAGGGCCACACAACAGCCCCTGCACAACTCCAGCCCAGCTGCAGTGCTGGGTGGGCAGCAGGAGGAAGGGAGCAGGTGGCAGCAGGCGGGCTCTGGTCCCAGGCTGAGTGATTCTCCTGCCCCAGGCCTATAAATGCCTCCAAGGATGGGAACTCACGCAGGTCTCACATAGACAAAGCGGGCACCAGGACTGTGACACCTGGAGCAGCCCCACCCAGAGCAGCCCCGGACACAGGAGGGTGACCTTGCAGCTGGACGTGCCAGGGGCCAGGAGCTTGTCCCTCGATGCTGCACCTGCCCCACCCCACAGCAAAGCCACAGGCCAGGGGTCCTCAGAACCACATGACTGGGCCGCCTCTGTAGCGTTCAGCCACCACCTACTGCATGCCGGGTGAGCTGAGCAGACAGGCAGACTGAGCCTCAGTGGGCACTGCCTCCTGGTCACAGGGAAAGCACTGCTCTACACAGGGAGAAGAATGTGCCACAGTGCCTGGGGACAGACAGTGACAGCCCGGAGGACACCCCGAGCGACAGCGACAGGGCGGGCCAAGGGCACAAAGAGCTGCGGAGCACACTGCAGAAGGGCACTCAGACCCTTCGGCTGGAGCAACCAGAGCAGGCGCAGGCAAGGCCTCAGTGAGTCGCTGGCTACCAGCCACCTGCGACCCAGCAGAGGAGCGGGTGGTGGCCGAGGCTGGGAACAGGCGGTGGAGACGCAGCCCAGTGGGCAGCAGGGGTGGGCGTGAGAGCTGCAGGCAGGCGTGGTCTCTGGAGCCCTCCCATCCCCTGACTCACTGACGGCCGCTCAGCCCTGGGGACAGCGCCGCTTCGGCTGCCAGCCCCACCCCAGCCCGTGCCCGCACAGCAGTGCCCACCTCAGGCCTGGCAGTACTAGAACGAGGTCTCCATCACTGTCGAGTACTGTGACCCCTTTCAAAGGAGCTAAGGAAACTGAGGCTCTGAGAGGAAACACAACCCATCGCTGTTCCAAGGGGAGCAAATGCTCCTGCTGCACAGCGGGACAGGGGCCTGGGAGTGGGTGTGCGGAGCCGCAGGGCTGCAGCCTCACTCCAGCACCGCAGCTGGGCAGGGTGGGCAGGAGCAGAGGTTCTAAAACACTCAACATGGAACTACGGTGTGAGCCAGCGGTCCCGCTTCTGGATCCACCCCCAGAAGAGCTGCAAGGCCAGCTCGGACGGACACCTGCACACCATGCTCACAACCGCCGGAGGCTGGCATCAGCCCGGGTATCCGTCTACACGAGCAGGGGTCGGGCACAGAGTCAGCCACACCAAAGAACAACAGGGCACCTGAGGTCCCTAGAGGGCTCAGAGTCACAGGGACAGGAATCAGAAGCGTCTGCCTGGGGTTAGGGGAGGGGCACAGCTGCAGTGTGAGAAGGGAAGTTCTGCCAGCTGTGTGACAACGCGACTGTGCTTGGCGCCACTGAACTGTGCTCGAAGTCACGGAGAATACAGTGAGTCTTACGCAGTAAGTACCTTAGCGCAATTTATATACACACAGGGGTGGGGGGTACACAGGGAGGGCCAATTCTCTGCAAGGTGATTTATGAATTTTTTTCGTTTTTGGTACCAGGGATTGAACTTGGGTCCTTGCTCTTGTGAGGCAGATGACAGAACCATTAAGCTAAATCCCCAGCCCTATGAATTTTTTTTTGGAGTCAGAGTCTCCCTACATAGTTCAGACTGGCCTTTAACTCAAAATGACCCTCCTGCCTCAGCCTCCTGAGTGCTGGGATGACACATGTGAACCACCATGCTCAGCTTTATGTCTGAATTGAATATGATCCCCTAAATAAACAACATGAAACTTTTAGACAAAGGAAGACAGGCTAAAATTAAGGCACATAAGGAAAATTAAGTGAGTTAAGGAGCCAGGAAGAGTGTGAATAGCTACAGGGCTGTGGGGAGCCTGGCTTCGCACATCACAGGACAGGACAGGGCCGCACCCCCAGGGGCAGAGTCAGGCCAGAGGCACAGACACAGACCCAGGTGCCATCTGAAGCTGGGAGGGAAGGACTGAACTGTAACAACTGGTGTTGGCACACAGGGTAGCTGTGTGGATAAGAGTGTCAGACTCACACATCACACGTGTGCAGAAAAACCTGGAAAGCGATCAAAGGTTTTCGTGGAGATTAATAAAGGTGTTAGAGGACGGAGGTGGTGCAGAGGGGCAATCTGTGACCTTGGGACCAGTCAGGTCCTCCCGAGAGATGTGAAACAGTACCAGACAGCTGGAGTGAGCAGTTTCCCTGGGTGGGGCATGCAGCTTGTGAGCAGAGGGCCTGCCTGGCACGCACCAGGCCCTGGGCTCTATCCCCAACAGCACACACACACACACACACACAGCCCAAAAACAAACCACAAAAAACAATTTCCTGCGAGACAAAATCTTTCACAGGTAGTCAAAGATAATTCGGGGACAAGTATTTCAACACCTATCGCAAAGAATTAGTGTGTCCAATGCTGAGAGACAGCAGTAGAAAAATGGACAGACGCCACAGCCCAGTTTGCAGAAAATGAAAAATACAAGCAGATCTTAAACCGGGGAAGATGATTTAACCTGTGCTTATAGGAGTGAAACACCAGCTACACGTACATCACGAGGCCTTTTGTCCTGACAGACCACAGTCACGGTGGGCAGGGGCAGGAAAATGCCCTTCCCGCTGGGGACGGGCACGGGGGCACCCTGACTGCCCCACGAAACTGCAACTCCACCCCCAGGGTGGTTCCCTGCTCACACAAGAAAGGACCACGGCAAAGTTGGCTTCTCCAGCACGGTTTTCACGGTGGAAGAAAAGGGCTCCAGGAGGCCCACTGGATGGGGAGCGCGAACGCCTGGGCTCACCAGCCAGCACCCTGCTATCTGGGCACCGGCAGAGAAGGAAGGGGTGGCAGTGGCCATCTGTCGGTCACCAGGAGGAACGCCTGAGAACATCCACTTACAGGAGGAAAGGTTTGTTTAGGCTCACGGTGGCGGCGGTGTCATTCCACGGTCACTGGCGTCAGCGTTTCTGGGCCTATGGCAGAGAGCACAGCCGAGGAGAGCTGCTCACCCCACGGCAGCTGGGAGGCAGTGACAGAGTCCAAGGGGAAGAGGCTGGGGCTGAGGCGTCCTCCCCAAAGGCATGCCCCTCCCCACACCTGTCAACAAGCCCATCACATTATGAATCACTGATTACTCCGTGATCCATGCACCTTCCCACAGCCTCCCCTGTGGGGGAGGAAGCCCCAGGGACAGCTGAGATCCAAAGCACAACAGGAGGAAGAGGAGGAGAAAAAGAAAAAATTCACGCAGAACAACAGCCCTGGAAAGCCCAAGATGCCACCTCCTGGAGAAGGGGCCGCCTGGAGCCCACCATCTCCCAGCCCCCAGCACTCATGCCCTGACCCAGCTCTCAGCCAAGCGCTGGGTAGAGTCTGTCCCTACCTCACTCTCGTCACCTGACCTGCCCAGAGCAGCCAGCACCCAGTGGGTCGAAGGTCACTGCCCTGCAGGGCCTGGCTCCTCCTACAAAGCTCCCGAGCCTGGCACACCCTACTGGCTGGCACCTGAGAAGGAGCAGGGTAAGGCTTGGCACAGCATGACAGGTGGGCCTGCGAGTCCATGACTCCCACTCTGTGGACCTGCAGAGGTGGGGTCCTCAGGGCCAGGAACCCACACAGGGAGGTGGCCCTGGCCAGGAGACCAGCAGGGGACCGTGGGCCGGGTCAGGTGTGGGCGATTTGAGAAATGAGGGGTTCAGGGGAGCCCACACTGGCAGAGGACACAGCCCTGATTCGAGGTCAGCCATATGTAGGCAGGAGAGGGGACCACGGGGGTCCCCTGTGACCTGACTTCATCCTCACACCTGTTACACAAGAGGAAACAAGGCATGAATCCGTGCAGCAGGACAGGGCAGCCTGCTCCTGCCAGATGCCTCCGGGCTCCCTAGGAGGGCCCTGGGCACCATGAACCTCACCCTGCTGCCAGCCCTCAGCCTCAGCCTCATGCTCCCTGGACAAACGTTTGTCTGCCTTTAGGCGATCTCTGGTCAGTGTCACCATCTTTACGCACAGCAGCCCTCCACGGCCCGGCCCCACTGCTCACCCAGCGAACCCTCAGTCTCCCAGTGGCATTTCCACTCTCCACTGTGAACCAGCACCCTCCTCCTGCTTCTTCTCACTGGCCACCACGGCTGCTCCTCCAATAAGCCCTCCCAGCCCCACAGTCCTCGGCTGCAGCAGCCCTGAGGCACTGGTGAGGGAAGAGACACCTGCTGCCCTCGGTGCCACCTTCTCACACACGCAGCCCACACCTACACCCCGCTCCCCCTGGGTACGAGCACCACTGGGCCTTCACCAGCCCCCTGCAGAGACAGCACCTGCGTAACTGCAGGACAAACCAAGGCAGCCTGAGATGTGTGACAGAGGCTGCCTGGAGCACAGGCTCGGGAGACACAGCGGGAGACAGGATGGGAACACAGCCACCAGCAGGGCGAGGTACAGCCCTGACACCACAGGTGGCCACACCCCCAGGCCCGGGCCTGAGCCAGAAAATGTCCCCTTGGCTCCAGCAAGACTTGGTAGAGCACTCTCCCTGTGGCCCTCCATGTGGGCCCCTGGGAAGACCCTGGACAATAGCCCAATATACTGCCACCAGGAGAAGGGGGTGGCGGCTCTGGGTAACAACGGCAGAATCAGCTATGAGATGCTGGTCACGCTCCTTCAGAGGGCAGCATGAGTCTCACTGACCTTAAGAAATTAAGGCACTGAGCCGGGCATGGAGGCGCACACCTGTAATCCCAGCACTCAGGAGGCTGAGGCAGGAGGATCACTTCGAGTTCAAGGCCATCCTGGGCTACAGTGTGAGTTCACAGCCAGGCTGTGCCTCCAGCCACTGGTTCCTTCCTTCTGTTGGGGCCTGAACTTGGCCTCATAGCTGATAAGTGTGGCATGCACGGGCCACTCCGTCGCTGCTGCACCCACTTGGCTGCAGGACTTGGCTTTCAGCCTGCAGCTCCTGTTTCCCCTCTCAGGTATCGATCTCCACCCAGACTCAGACACACGCCCCATCCGATCTCGAGGTCCCCATCCTCCCGCTCGGCAGCTGAGGGTGGCTGTAGGGACAAGATCCACACACCTCAAGCCAGGATCGGAACCACCAACAAGCCAGTCAGCCAGCCAGCAAATCAGCGCAAATCTAACCTCACTGCCCTGCTCCGAAAGATGGAGAGGAGGCAACTGACGGGCCTCAGCAGGGCCCGGCTGGACGGCGACTAGTGCCATCCATCACTGGGTCCTTGGGCACAAAGGCCAAAGCACAAACCAACAGCCCCGCCCAAGGGGGCCCTCCCCTGCCTCCCTCCCTCCCTCCTATAGTTGTAATCCTGACTCCACTCATGGGAGCACCAAGGGAGCCACACATCTTTCTAGAAACTTCTAGCCTCACCAGAAAGAGGCAGCCACTGCCAAACGCTATGCAGAAACATGTACCTAACCAGAACATGCCCCCTCCACCACCTTTGAAGGCAAACTCTACGCAGCTAAAGGTGAAAATGTTAAAAACAAAATAAAATCTAGCCAGGAGCAGTGGTGCATGCCTATCATTCCAGTAACCCAGGAAGCTGAGGCAGGAGGATCACCAAGTTTGAGTCCAGGCTGGACAACTTAGACCCTGCCTTAGAATAAAATAAAAAGGGCTAGGTATGTAGCTCAGCATTCCCTGAGTTCAGGCTCCAGTACTATAGAAAAACAAAAAAAGCAAAACGAAACAAAAAAGAAATCTGCATTTTACAGAAACTTGCCTGGAATAGTAACTTTGAAAGAAAACTGCACTTGTTTTTGCCCTAATTAAAACCATGCTACAGGGCCAGGGATTTAGCTCAGTGGCACTGCACCTGTCTGGCAAGTGCAGGGTCCTGAGTTCAAGCCCCAGTACTGCAAAAAAACATGCCAGAAAACCACCTGAAACAAGAAAGGAGAGAGAGGCACACAGACGGAAGCGGGGGCAGGGGCTGAAGCTCACCACATCATCTCTTTCCCGCAAGCCTTCGGGCAGCTGACCAGGTCCTCTGCAGAAAAACCCAAGCCCTGGAACGCAGAGGCGAAACAGATTCTCTTCCCAGCAGCCTCACTCCAGGGTGTGCTGCTGCTGGCCAGCTGGGCACTTTCAAGGCTGTAGGGCTGCTCCACTCTGGCCTCCAGGAGCACTGGGATGTCTGGAGCCCAAAGCAAGGGCCGTGGCCTCCCAAGAGAGGGCAGGACAGGACGCAGGGATGCGGGCCTGGAGACCTGGAGACCTGGCTCAACCAGCTCAACAGGTCTGCAGGAACGCGAGCGCCAGCGGGGGTGGCGCCGTCCAGTCCCAGAAGTGCAGGCTTGCAGGCCTGCCTGTCCTGAGCCATCACAGCTCCGCTATGAGGAGCAGGGCTCAGTGACCAGAGGGGAAAGGGCCCCCAGTGACAAAAGAATGCTGCCCCAGGGCCTCTTCCAAACTCCCCTGCCCTGGCTGCCGAGACAGGAAGACGAAGGACCAGGCCGGGAGCGCACACCTAGGAGCCCTGGACACTCGCCAACACCCACAGGCGACGGAGACCAGGTGACTTCTGGCTTCACGGTCTCGCCCTGCAGGAAGGGTAGGTGACTGTCATCCTGGCCACATGCACGCCTATGGAAACTGTCTTAGTTACTTTTCTTGTTGCCGAGACAAAATACCCAACGCCCTAAGTTAAAGGGAGAAAGGTTTCTTTAGCTCAGTTTGTAGACGGTTCCATCCGTCCGTAATCGGCCGGCTCCAAGGCAGGGTGGCAGATGGCAGAGGGGCAACAGCTCATGGCAGGGGAAGACAGCAAAACCAATAAGGGGCAACCACCGCTCTTTCTATGCCTTACCTCTCATCCAGGCTACTCACGGCAGGAAGCGGTCACACCCGTAATCCCCGTGTCCTCGAGCCCAGTACTGCACCGTGAATCAGTCACAGTCTCGATTCGGCCACCTCAGAGAAAGCCCCACCTCTGACTGTGTGAGACTTTGAAGGGGACATCTGGACACGAGCCGTAACAGAAGCCAATGGCTGTCTGCCTCACAGGTGCCACTTAACCAGATCCAGCTCAAATCCCCCTCACCAGGGGCCGGCAGCTGGGCCTGACCAACGTGTCCTGGAGTCCGTCTGCTCAGTGGCAGCGACAGTCAGGCCATCTCTGACCTCCCTCAGGGCTGATGTATGCAAACGAGGTGTCCAGAAGGGGAATTTCAGGAAAGGAAATCATCCTGACACACTGGCCACGTACACCTGCCCTTCCAGATGCCCACTCCTCTGCTCAGCCCCCTGGCTGGGTGAGAGGGTGGCCGGGTTGGGAAGGGCCCTGGGAGTCTCAGCTCAGCATAACCACGGCACCAAGGATAGGTCATGACCACGCTGCACGAGCCAGATGGGGCCATCACCTGCGGTGACATCTGACGTCAAAGCCTCGCTCTGCAACTTGGAGTGGGGCCAGCAGGAAAAGCCAGTCCCTGGTGGCCAGGGTCGGGGAACAGCTGGTTGGGGCCTGGGGTACCACACAGAAGGGGGGCTTCCCAAGGCTGTGTCCAGGGGCACCCTTCATGAAGGCTGCACTACCTCAGCGGGAGCCCGTTTTCCTCTCAGAATTCAGAACCCTCCTCTCCCTGGCGCCCCTAATGACCCCTGGGCCCAGAACAGGGGCATCATCTCCCTTCTCCGGACACACAGCCAGCCGCAGGCTACAACATGGGGGGCGATGGGCGGGGTGGAGAGTCTTGACCCGGGAAACCAAAACAGGAAGAGACACCCACCTGCAAAAGCAGCTCCGCTGATGGCATGGTGGTGCATGTCTGAAATCCCAGCACTCTGGGAGGCTGAGGCAGAAGGATCACAAATTCAAGCCCAGCCTGGGCAACTAAGTGATAAGTGGTGAGACCCTGTCTCAAAGCGAATCACAAAGGGGCCTGCACTTTGGCCCAATGGCACCATGTCTGCCTCGAAAGTGCAAGGTTCTGAGTTTGATCCCTGGTCCAAAAGAAACAAATAATTTTTTTAAAAGGCCAGGGAAGTAGCTGAGTGTGAAGGAGATGGATTCAATCTCCAGTATCACAGGGGGAAAAAAGCAGCCAAACTGAACCCCTGTCCCAAATGCCAATTTCCTGAATCACTCTGGGACTGACTGTCCCTGAGGCACAGAGACATCTCCCACGAGCTTGGCGATGTCCTGTCTCTAATTCTGGTTGTTTGCCAAGCACACCCCATGCCAAAGGAAAAGCCCCT